CTCACGAAAACCAAGCTTCCTAGTTTGTCATGGTCTAGCCAGCAGAATGAGTTTTGGAGAGCCAACATCTGGGGACAAGTTCCCTGCTTTGGCAAGAACCAGAATGATCAAGGAAGTCACATGTCAGCGGAGTTCTCCATGCTATTTGTCAGTACCCTGTATAACCATCTCCAATGTGCAAGGCCAATAAATTGCTCTTTCTAGCAAATCTTATAAATATTTAGGAAACTTAAATATTTTAAGATATACTTGAAAGTCAGGGACTAAAAAAAACAAAGTTTCTGCTAAGGAATTCAAAAGAGGCAAACATCCCCCAGATGTTTGCATTTATCTACGACAGTGGCAATAATCCTACAGGCAAGGGGCACTTCCCTCCTCACCCACCAAGGAGATACTTTTGAACTGTGAACATTTCATTCAGAGTACCAGAGAAACTGGTGTCCAGCAGTTTACAATCACAAGCAATTGTTCCCTGGACCTGCTCAAGGTGGGATGGCAGAGCTCAGCATTTAGACTGGGAAAGATTTATCATTGGATATACTTTCACCAGTACTTGCTCATCTTAAACAATAATACACATAAAGAAGAACAAAGGACCCTGGGCCATAATCAAGAATTGAAATGAAAATAATTTCACTCTGTTAAAAAAAAAAGGATAACCTCAGTCATTCCCTATTAACAAAAGACTCTATTCTTTGAATGAAAATACATTCCATAATTGTTCCATACAAAAATGAATGAATACAGGAAAAGTGATTATGTAGATCTTCTTCCTGGGAAAAATCTTTCCCATGAAGCCTCTTACCAAGTGGTCTACTCATGCAGAAGTGGTGGGTTTCAGGGCTGAAATGAAACTCAATTGGTCCCAAACTCACTTTGACAAATCAACTTTTTGGATGGTTAAAGGATAAACAATGCTGACAACAAGCAGAACCCTATCACTTTTAAACCCTATCACTGTCAAAACAAAGATAATTTCTCAGATAATGTAAAGCTGCTTTTCTTTCTTCCTTCTCTGTCATTCAACATACACTCAGCATGGATAATAGTGATTGCTTTTGTTTGTATATCTCATGTTAATTTTTATCCTCTCAGGATCTGTTAAAGAATAAACAACTATAGTAACACTTACAGACTCTAGAAGACCTCTTCAACCATCAGGAATACCCTATGGAATTCATAAACAATTTCAAGTCTCTAAATCTCCTGAATTTATATGTAAAATTTTAGGTATTTGTATATATGTACTTTTGGGGAATAGGGCCTAGGACTTTCATGAGATTATCAGTAGAAACTCCCTGACACACACAAAAATGAAAACACGACTTTATAGCCCACTTTCTGAACAACCTTTCCTATATGGCCTTCAGGGAAGGAAATGATAAGCACTTTGTTTTTAGAGGAAGAGGAGATTATAATGAGATGGGAATTCTTCATGCGGAACTGATGAATCTGGGCCTTAAGAGATGGGTATGACTGGGGCCAGTGGAGAAGAGGGTAGGGCATTTCAGGAGGGGGACTGGCATGAGCAGAGGCACAGAGGTAGGAGCACATGAGGCATGTTTAGGCAGCAGCAATCACGTTGACCTGCTGCGCTGGAGGGCTAACACGGAGGAGCCAAGGGATATGAGTGAATAAGGAAATGAGGATGCCAGGCCCCATGGAGTAACCCTCATCCTGAGGCAAGGGGAGCATTCCATAGGGCCAGAGAGTTTTCTTCAAAGATTACTCCAGTGGTAATGGGTGGGATGGATCAGGAAAGTGGCCAAGTGTGTTAAAAAAAAAAAAAAAAGTCAATTACAGAAATCTAAATCCAAGCAGAAGAGGATGCCCTGAAATCAGAAGGCTATGTCTGCAGTTATCCACTTTATCGTCAGTGAGCGTCCCAGAACCAGAGCACAGGTGGGTGCTTAGAAAAACTATGTGAGTGAGCAAATGAGCACATATTATTTAAAAGATAAATAAGAGAGAAAGTAGAATCTTGGTGATTTGAAAACCCATCTTGCTACTATTCATGAAGCCTAGCAGTGTCAGGCACAGATACTAAAGAAAGGTCTTGTTGAATTGTCCTGGACCAGGCTGACTAGATGTGGGGGATGAGAGGGAAGGAGGATTCCAAGCACACTCTGAGAGAGGCTGAGGCTGTGCTGGTTCTGTAAACATGGACTCACTTCTCAGGAACATGGGTTTATAAGGAAACCAAGCCAAGGTGGTATAATGAAAAGAATCCTCCAGGACAAGGCAAAAGACCCCAGTCCTGCATCCTGCCATTCAAATGTATGTGTATGTGACAATAGCCAATAACAGTCTCAGAGGATCTCTTGCAGGGGGCTTTCTAGAGCTAATTCTTGGATCAGCTATGCATTTTTAAGATTCTACACTTTCTCCTAAAAAAATCTAGGCAAGACCCATAAAGTTAAAATCCTTAACACTTCCTTTCCTTGAATCCTATCCATTTCACAAAAGCATATACTATTACCTCTGTATATGGGGGTAGGTTATGTGTAAAAATTAGACTACAGTTGTGATTCGAGTCCAAATTGTTCTAAGTCTGTAATCAGTTTTCTGATAGTCCCGTGGCCTCAGTAATGTCATTATTGGCAATTACATAACAACAAAATGTTAAAGTCTGACAATATATAGTATATCTCTGCATGAATTGATACTGTCCTTGTATCTATTCTAGTGGACAGCAAAGCATACAACTGCTGCTCATTAATCCTGATAAATGGAGATGGGAGGTAGATAAAGGGGAAGACTATTTTTATAACAAAGGTTAAAAAACAACAGGTGGCCCATGATTTCTGTCTTCTTTCCAATCAAAAGCATCTATTAACATTAAAGACCATGCTTCCTTAAGTTACTTTCCAGCAAAAAAAAAACAAAAACAGAAATTGAATAAGTGAGCCAGATGACCAAAATGTTCCTTAATTTCTTGCTGCTGCTGTTGTTTTTCTTAGAAGTAGCACCTGTTCATCAAATTGGAGAACACTTCAAATCCAGGTAGCTCAAGAATAAAGCACATAAAAATTAAAGCCCTCTCACACTACAGTGATTTTTGTTTTGGTCATTTGGATTCCATAATCCATAAAGTAAAACTGGGGTATATTCCAGGGTTCCATACAAAACGCTGAATACCAGGTCCTGAGCCTCAGGTGGCAATGTCCATTCACGCCTTTGTGGGAGGTACCTGGATGAAATGAATATAGTTCTAACTTCACTCTGAACATTGGCTTTCCACATACTTGCTCCAAGTAATACACAGTAAAAGCCATGTGAATCTACACACTCATACTTAATCATCCTTACAGCAAAACRCATCACACTAGTGCTATACAGTAATAATAAATTATAGGCAAAATTTCAAACTTTCTTTTCAGCTAAGGGTGGGGAAAGGGCAACTCAATCTTTGTGGAGACAGGTCTACAGTCCACTTGCTMATTATAATCACATTTCTGGACCAGGAGTTTCCCTAGTTACACAGAGCTGCTACCAGCTGGCCTTAGAACACACTTGCTGAAGAGAGAGAAGGCAAGTGGGCTGGAGACTTAAAACAGGCTTATTCATGCATATCTTCTCCACCACATTCTCATTAAGCATTAGACAGACCTTCCAAGAGTAGTGGTTTTAATAAAATATTCACAACTACACTTTCTTTGGAATAAGAATTTCTAAATGAGGGTATCTCAGCATTTATTCCCAGTTACATATGCCCCGCAGCTGCTTAATTGGTAAACAGCCTCACAATCTCTCCCCCTTTACCTCTCTGTGAATCCACAGCAGTCTTTTAAGATTGTTGCATGTGATCTTCACTCAGTTTCTTTTTCAAGCAAACTACATGAATTTTCCAGAAACTTCTTTTAAGAAGTGCCTCTTTAAATGCATTCCTTACCCCAGTCAAGTAGCTTTAAATGCAYTCCTTACCCCAGTAAAGTAGCTTTGTTTGCAGGTACACTGACTCTCCTATCCCAAATCCACTGCCATCACACAGGACCTTTACTCCTATTTCCCCTGAAATCCTATGTCAAGAAGAACCAGGTCTTCAGAGGGAGAGCCTTCACAAATATGGGTAACTCCAACAGTTTATGTGCTCTRTGGAGAGGGAGGGAGAATGTGAAGGGATGGGAAGTCCTGAAGAAACACTAAGATCTGTCCTCAGCGTTGCCCTACTACACTGGGAATGGCTGGAAACACCAGAAAAGCTGCACAAATGAAACTGCATATGATCTATCACTGCACAGAGTGCTTTGATACAAGGAACATGATCCTCTACCTACTTTACCTTTGCAAGGTTTGTTTTCATAGGACATTACAAGTTGGCAAGCTTCTGCCTACAAAAGTCAATCAAATACTTTCCCCTTCTCCTCTGTTAAACCCACCGTATCCCTGAAATTTATTCTCTCTCAATTAATCCAACATGGCAACTTAACACTCTGAAGGCAACAAAGAACATTCCAGCGTGAGTTCAGACAATGAAAACAACACTTTTCTGCAAATACACAGTAGAACTAAAGACCATTTGTAGCTAATGATAACTGATAAAAATATTTCCAACATTCTTTTAATAAAAGATTTTGACTCAAGAAAGATCACAAAGAGGAATGATGACCAAGTCCTAACTGTGGCTTTGCTTGTGTTTCAACTGCTCAGCTTTTATAAGTGACTGTGGTGGTTGCTCTCTGGATATGGAATTTATTGGCCCTCAGATCTTCACACATATGAAGCATAATAAAAAAATTAAATGATGTGTTCATGTCACACCACTTCCAAGAAGTTTAAAAGCACTGCACGAATGTTACCAAGTGAATCCCCACAACACCCCTGTGAGGTAGGTAGGTGGAGAGTATCGTCAGCCCCACTTTACAGGTGGGAGAAATGAGGCACACAATAGTTAAGGTTCTTGCCCAAAATCACACAGTTAGCCACTGGCAGAGCTTAGAATAAAACTTACATGGATTAGCACCTAGCACAGTGCTTTGCACATAGTAGGTGTTCATTGCATATCTGTGGATTTTGACCCACATCTCAACATACAATATACATACATGAAGTACAAGCAGCCACCAAGAAACATTCATCTCCTCGATTTGTTTTTTCTGATGGTATCTCCCATTACTTCAAACCCTGGTGGATGAAGGATGTTCAAGAATCCATCTCACAACTAAGACTCAGYTGCAAGATCAGTACAAACACTATCAGCTGATGGCCCGCTCACTCACCTGCTCTACCACGCAATATTAGTTTTCTAATGAAAACAAAAATGGATTTCAGGAACCATGCTGATTTTTTTTTTTTTTTTTGCGCCTGTTTGTTTTCAATGGAGCCATCTGAATRGTTCTGTGTTTCATTTTTACAAAAAAGAAATAAGGCGGCTACAGTCCAGTTAGTGTGTGAAAACTGGGCCAAGCACGAAGAGTCTTCTCCCAGCTCAGATGGATTTCTACCTGGGAAATCGACCGACCCCCAGGGAGTGGCAGCTCCAAAGGAAATGAGTCAACAAAGGCCTGATGTCACTGGCAGGGATGTCACTTGCACTGTTCGTGGTCTGTGGAGTCGTCCATGTCCACGTCAGAATCAAAGAGCGAGTGTCCAGTGAAATCCGTGTCTGGGGTTCTGGAGAAACTGTTCTCCGCGCCCTCATCTTCAAAGGTCTCTGTCCTTGAGTAAAAGCTGAAATCCAGCAGGGGAGTGTGCGTTTTGCTGCCTTCACTGCTCTCCTCCGACTCATAGATGGTGTTGTCGTCATCGTGGTGCCACTCAGGCCAGAATTTCCTCCTTATCCTCTCGCAGTACATGGCAAGGTTGATCAGCTCCCCTGCAGTGTGGTAGGAAAAACAGGGTTTTTTATTCTCAAAGGCATCAAGCTCACAGTACTTGTAGGAATGTCTGTGTCCTCCCCAAACCCAAAGGCTGAAATCCTAACCCCCACCAGGTGCTGGCCCTGGCTTTGGTTTGTGCCTCATAAAAGGTGCACAGGAGAGCTGCCTCAGCCCTCCACCATGTGAGGACGCAGCGGGAAGGTATTCACTGTGGGTGATCCTGGAAGCAGGTCCTCACCAGACACCCAACCTGCCCACGCCATCACCCTGGACTTSCCAGCCTCAAGAACTGTGAGTAATTAATACATTTCGGTTGCTTACAAGCCACCTAATTTATGGTATCTGAAGACATCCAGCCACCAAGCTTCCTGGGGAGTGTGGAAGAACGAGGTGGGTAGATAGTCACAAAGCTTTTCCACAGCAATACTGTCAAAATATTTAGATTTTTATGAACATAATAAGAAAAGTGAGTAAGAAAAGTTAAACTCAGTAAATGGGATAAATGAAGCAAAGGACTGGGTCCTGTGGTACAGAGAAGAGGAATTGTTCATCCAAAATGGCAGAAAAATTACCATCTTTTCTTTGGGAAGCATTTTATTGTTTTGTTTACACACCAATAGTTAATGTGCTGATTGGTTCATATTTAAATTARTTTATATTGCATGAAAATAGACCACCTGTGGGTTGCATTACGTCAGCCAGAAATCATCATTCATTCCACAAATCTTTGTAGTGTTATAGGTCGGGTACTATGCCAAGTTGCTGAAAAAAAAATTACTTTAGAATAAAAAAACTTTGCCCTAAATAATTCATAAAATAGATTAACTCAGAATTTTCTGTATGGATCAATGTACCTAAAAACACATTTAGTAAAAACACATTTCATAAAATATTTTTTAATCTTCSAAATAAAATTTAAACAGCTTTTTTGGGTTCCCAGTAAGTCACTGGACCACTCTTTCATATGAATCAAAGGGACACTTACGAAGTCACTAACATACCAGTATTTGTCTAAAACATGACACAGTACTGGAGTTCCATTTCCTAATTCCAATTGAAGAAAAAGTGAGTTTTTGCCTTTGATCCACCAGATGGCAACATTGCCTTTAAATACACAATTTATCAGTATTTCTCATAGGACATTATGATCCTTAGAATATTGTTTGGATCTTTTGAACTAAATACACATTCAATTATTATGTAGGTAATCCATATTTTATTACAAAAATAATACAGATAAGCAAAAAATTAAAGAATTACCAATAATCCTCTTCTCCATAATAACTTTTTCACTGATATTCTTCCAGAAATTTGTTTCTATATATATTTACATTAGCTATAAAGAATTGACTATATAGTGTGTTTTCTGTCCACCTTTTTCCACTTATCAGCATATGGTGAAAATTTTTTAATTTTACAGTATGACTACTATGATAATTTTTTAGTATTTCATTATGTGCATTTGAACTATATCAGTTTCATTTTGCTTTAATCAAACCCCTATCACAAGTCACTTGAGTTGTTTTTGTACTAATAGCTCTATTGATTGTAGCCTGTAACCRTTCTATTTTCATTTTCTATTAAAGTAAATATATATTCTCATTTTGAAAAACTGAAAGTCTATATACAGAAACTTTATGAATACATAAAGAAGAAAACAAAAAATCCCTAGGATCTCATCAACCCAAAATAATCACAATTAGCATTTTGATATAATTTTTTTCAATATAGTTTCTACTTACTTACTGCCATTATTATTTCTTATGATCTCCTATAACATTATTATAGACATTTTTCCATGTCACTGAAATTTTTCAAAGTTTGATGGCTATTTGGCTGCCCTACAAACATGACAAAGCAAATTCTCCTGYTTCTTGGAATCTGTAAACCAATTAACTTGTACTGGTTCCAAGTCATCATTTTCAGTCTTAGATCATAATAGTGCAATCCCTACTGTGTAGGAGTCCATTCTCATTACCTTCTGCTAGAAGATATGGATGTACATGCTCAGAGCCAGAAGCTAAGAAGCCAACATCACTGCTTCTCTTGAGGAGATGCATGTTAAACCTTCCAGTATTTACCCAAGAGAACTTCCAATCATGCAACTCCTCCCCAGGTATTGCTACTAATCACAGATAATCAAGAATTGGGAAAAAGATGTGGAGGAAGCAGTAAGAGGGAGAAAGAGAATCTAATGAGAAAGGTACAGAGCCATTGAAAACTAGATGTGTGGTGCACAGGTGTAATCCCAGGAACTCCGGAGGCTGAGACAGGAGGATCACAAGTTTGACGCCAGCTTCAGCAACTTACTGAGGCCCTCAACAATTTAGGGAAACTCTGTCTCAACATAATAAATAAAGAGGGTTGGGCATGTAACTCAGTGGTAAAGTGTCCCTGAGTTCAATTTCCAGTACCACCACCACCACCACCCCAAAAAAACAGCCATCAAAGATGAATTAAGGACATATCACAGTAGGTTCAGAGGATAGCCTTGTTTGACTCAATCAAATCYATTCACCATGAGCTGCTCCCAAGGAGCAACTAGGAAAGCCAGAACTATTCACAGGACCCTATAACTTCATCCTCTTCTTTTGTGGGTGTTTTTATTTTTACTTTTTTTAGCCTTATTTCTTCACCTTTCCTCCAAAAGAGGTTCCTCCTTTGTGACTGTATGACATCAATACCACTTCAGTGTGAAAGAATAAAAATTAACAATCATATTAGAAAAATGTACTCCTTTCTGCATGCTAGGCACTATTTGCAGTGCTTTACTCATCTGTTATACTAATTTTCTCCTGCCCTTCCCCATGACACTACTCTGTCTCTTTGAGTGGACAGCCTGGCCTTGGAATTAATACCTTTGTGCTACTATGTTAGAATATTTCTCTGMAGTTCTTTCCTGGGTTCTCAAGAATTATGAGATGACAGGTACCACCCTTTAGTGGCAATGAGCTGTCATGAAATAAGTGAGAACTCTATCGCATGGCCGAGAAAGGTCATCCTTGATGAGCAAGAGCTGAGATCCACACACCCCTCCTCATATCCTGCCCCCGAATAAAGAGTAAAACGGATAGGAAAGTTCTAGATTGGCTTTGCTCAATTCTTCTTCTGCCTAGATTCCCCATTAGCTATATTCCAAAAGAACAAAAAAAGGCTGGCAGTAGAAAGCACTTCTGTGGTATGTGTGTGTGTGTGTGTGTGTGTGCACATGTATGAATGCAAATGCATGATATGCCTGGGTTAACATAAATCCCTATACTCAATATGTACACTTTGTGAAATAAAAGAAAAACCACATTTCTTCAAAGTGTACTCAACAATCCAATAACAACTTCATCCTCCAGAATGATAAAATCTAAAGTCATCCAATGCTGAGGAGGCTGTGGAAGTCAAGCATTGTGTTACATGGCTGGGGTAAGAACAAATTGTTGTAACCTTTTTTTGGAAAGTAATCTGATGCTCCCCACTGAAATTTAAAATGTGTATACCTGATGGCCCAGAGTTCCACGTTGAGTACTCTATTCTGCTAAAAGAAAAGCTTCAGTATATGAAGATTTATGTGCATGGATGTAGCATTACATGTCAGCAAAAGAAAGAGGAAGGTGAGGAAGAAAAGGACAAACAATAGGGGGAGGAGGAGGAAGAGAAGAAAGAGGAAAGGAAAAAGATGGAAACAGTCTTGAGGTCCATCAGTAGGGACTGAATTAACCATTCTGTAGAATATTGTGTAGTTGTTCAAAAAGACATGAAATTATTAAGTGGGAAAATTCAARTTAGAAGAGTAATGTGTGTAGTTTTATTCTACTGTTTGTTTTAAAAACAGTAAAAACAACAAACCACAATAGCTATACATGTGTTGTAAATATGTGCATGCAAAAGAAAGGCACAAGAATGATCCACATAAAATCCTCAATATTGATTATTCCATGGGGTCTGTATTGGACATGGATGAAGGGGAAGACATGCACTTTTTAACCTATTCCCTTATGATTTGGCTTGTGATAGTCGTATATTACTTCTTAAATTTGAAAAGCCAATGAAATAAATTACTWAAAAAAACAGTGATATTATCAGACAAAGAGGATATTTATCAGAATGCTGAATGCTTCTCTACCCAGAGGACAGTCCTAGACAGAATAAGGAGCCTTTCTCTTGGAGTTTCTCACAAGGAAATGTTCTCCATTGATCTTTGAAAAACATACAAGCATTATTTTCTGCATCAATCTAACTTCTCTAATATAATCAAAAACATTCTGTACAATTTAACACTGTAAACCATGTCAAACAGATTCAGAATCCTGGACTGAGTTTCTCCCAGCTGCCTCTCATGTATGGCTAGAATGAGAGGGAGGGAGACGCCTGCCAGAGCCCCCTGCACCACCTGCCCACGCTGGGTCATTAACCAGCAAATATTTGGAAAACACGGGGCCAATACCCAAATGCACTCATGTACTCTGCAGGCATGTGCTCAGCATCTCCTTGTCCCACACCTGTGCTAGGTGCTGGCAACAGCCTTGATTGCTCTCTTTAGCATTTGTCACACAGTAAGAAGCCACCAAGCATGCCTTCTTCTGAGAAGTGCTAACATGGCTTGAATGCTGTGGATGCGGACACTCCCTCTGCCTCATCTCCTTGAAGCTAAAGATTGAGAGCAAGGACACTAAATCACAGATCTCAATACATACAACCCACAAATGCTATTTGATTCAGCCCTTTCCTGACAGCCAAATCCCCCACCACAATCTCTTCCACAATCATACGACATTCTCCCCACTTTCTAATCCCTTAGGCCAAAAAGACACCCAAGGACAATTAATAATCATGGGTGAAAGTTGCTGAATGAAGTTTTTCTTAGAACATGGAAGGTCATGTTCCTTACCAATTTAGAAAATAGTGTTAAAGTCTGTGGTTTCCCTATGGCTCTAGAGGGTGGGCAGTTGTAACATAGGCCTTCCCTTCTCCTTGCTTCAATTTCATTTTKGGGGGCTTTCTTAAATTCCCTACATCTATTTTGTTTATTTCATTTTATTTATTTATGTTTGGTGCCAGGATTGAACCCAGAAGCACTCACACTGAGCCACAGCCCAACCCTTTTTCTTTTGTGACAGGGTCAGGCCTCACTAAGTTGTTGAAGCTGGCTTTGAACTTGCAATCCTCTTGCCTCAGCCTCCTGAGCCACTGGGATTACAGGCATGCACCACTGCTCCCAGTCCCACATCAAATTAACTTTTAAATTAACACATAATTCTCTAACAAGGACACCCAGATTAAAACAAGGATTCTAATTCCACATTGAGAGTGTTGCTGATAATAAAACAGATTCTTTTCTTACTGCAAAGACGGTAAAAACTTCTAAATAAATTATATTTAGCCCTAATAAGGGAAATAAAATTAGAGATGCTTTTCGGACATTGCTCTTGGAAATGTAAACTTCTATGGCCTTTCTAAAAAGCAGCTGAGACATGCAGACCAAGAGCTTCTACCCTTTGTGATACTAATTCCCTATCTAGAATTCAGTGCAGGAAATAACCAGAGACAAACAGGAGTATATGTTTACAACAATATTCACTACCAAATAACAGTAAAAATTATTTGAAGTAATACACAAGTCCAAAAGAAGATTAATCACATGTAGTACAATGTAGCTATAGGATAGGATATTATGGAATGACTACAAATGCATGTTTGAAGAATATTTAATGGCAAGGGGAAAAGCCATAATACTTGGTTTATTTTAAACATCAGGTTATAATTGGATCAATATTATGGTCCCAATTTTTTGAAGTATATACATGCTTGTGCTTGATAAAAGATGAAGATACATACCACAATATTAACAGCAGATCTCTGTGGATGATTAACTCACAAGTTACTTTTCATTCTTTGAAAACTTTTCTATCTTTTCTAAATTCTATCCAATAAACAAGTGATATTTCATATTTATATCTAAATATATAGATGCATACACATACGTATATTTTAAGCATGGTTGAATATTCAAAATATGCCCTCCTACACACCTAAATTAAGGAAAATTTCTTACTATTCTACATGATTCCAGAAGTAGTTTGTGTGGTTTGGTCAACAATTAGGACCAGGGCTGGGGAAGTGGCTTAGTCGAAGAGTCTCTTGCCTGAAGAGTCATTAGGCCCTGAGTTTGATCCCCAGCACTGCCAATAATAATAATAATAATTACTGGGACTAAAAATTTATATTCAGTCACAGCCCTCCTCATGTGGCAAGGCCAGCAGAGCCATGGATGTTCCAAAGCCAAGGCCCAATCCCATCCACTCACACTCTGGATTTGAGCCAGTTCTTAATTATCTAGGCTCTTAGTTGTTTTCACTTACGCCCTCTCTCTTTACTTCTTGGGAAAGTCTCTACCACAGAGAGCAAAAGCAAGGAAAGAAGTTAAGTCCAAATGGTGCATAAAGGACATGGAACTACTGCCAAAGTAAGACTCAGAGACACTCTGGACTTTACTGATTAATGCTGCAAAAGTCCCCAGGGACAGCTGGAAGTCCCTGGCACTGCTTTAAGAATCAACATTCCTGCAACTGGGTGCTAARAGTCCCTGGAAGATAATGGTGTCAGATTCCCCAGACGTGTGTGTCTCAGGGAGGGACCCAAAATCAATCCTCAAAAATGGCTGATCATTTCCTTTAAGAGAATGTCTCAAGTCCTTTTAAGTCAAGAAAACATACTTTGTTTTTAAAAGAAGGGATCCTCTGAAGTCACAGTCCTACTGATAAGGATCCCCCAAATAATTCAACTAAATAACAGATTAAGTGTGTGTGTGTGTGTGTGTGTGTGTGTGTGTGTGAGAGAGAGAGAGAGAGAGAGATTATGGGAATGTGTCTGGGTAGAAATGTAGGTGTATGTGTACAGGTGTGTGGAGTTTGTGCATACAGGAGTATGTGAGTAAATGAGGTACATCTTTTATCACAATGATTTAGCTGGAAGTCCCTGGCACTGAAATTAAATGTCAGTCCAGCCAAGTGTGGTTGGTCATGCGTGTAATCTCAGCCACTCAGGCAGCTGAGGCAGGAGAATTCCAAGTTCAAGGCCAGCCTCAGCAATTTAGCAAGACCCTATCTCAAAAAAATGGCTGGGGATATAGCTGTGTTATAATGACCCTGGGTTCAACCTCCAGTACCAAAAATAAATGTCAGCCCCACTCAGCTAACCTTTTGGAAGATCTTCAATAAGTACCTGGTCCATTTCAGCCAAATCTGGTAATGTATCTGGAAGTCCACCCACAAATGAAGTCCACCAACTGGTCTCATCTACACCCCCAGCCTGCTCAGTTGAGCACAAACTCTTCAATTAAGTCTTGTCAATCCCCATCCCAAACTTAAATATTGAATTATGACCTCCACATCCCCAGCCCCCAGGTACTTGCTTAGATACTACTTTAAAATAAAGATGACTTCAAACAGTTCCCACCCACCTACACAGTAAAAGCCTCTCTGAGAGACACRGCTGTCATGTATTATCCCATCACCCTACCTTACTACATACACACATACACACACATGCAAACCAATATCTGATCCCTTGACATCAACCCAAGGTAAGCAGACTTACCCTCCCCCTTTGCTACCATGAATTTTATTCCTGGCTACCAATCCCACCCGGCCCTGTATTTATCATCACCCAGCTCTGGTCCCATTCATCTCCACTTCTTACCTTGTCCTTGATAGTCAAGAACTATAATTCTGAGAGAAGTACAGGGGACTGATATTGGCCAAATTATATCATTATATTGTGTGCATGTACAAAAATATAACAACAAATCTCATCATTATATACAACTATAATGAACCAATAAAAAATGTGGAAAGAAAAAAAGCTATAATTCTGACTAGACTTACAGCCAAGACCAGAAAAAATGGATAGCAAGATTGTGTTTCTTGGCACACATAATAGGATTAGTAATAATACTTGTATAGCTTCAGACTTCGCCGTTTATTGACAATTTCCTCATTTTCCCACAGCCTTGACCTTTCCATTCTTCTACTCTCAGTACATGATCTACAGTCACTACACTAGAGTGGAAGGCAGCTCAAATGACACAAATCATATATACTTTACCTACATTTGAATATAAGATCAATTGATATTCAAAAACAGCATCTGAGATTGGCAATGAGTTCATTGACCCCACCTGATCCTACATTGGATACATCAGAAAATGGTGAGCCAACTGCTCAAAAGACTTCAAGGAATAACAACAAAACAAAGACAGAAGGTGGAATTCAAGTCCTATTTTAGCAACAAGTATTCAGTTTCACCTGTAAGGAGCTGGCAGAAAACTGACTGGCCCTAGACACCACAGCCTAATGAAGCGTGGCCAGGTTCATGGCGCTGGCTAGAATTCTACATTCTACATACCAGTAYCCACCCACCCACAGCAACTCTTACACCAGAAAAGCTTTTCAGAGATGGGATAGAGAGAGAAGATGGGAGGGGAGGGGAGGGGGGATAGTAGAGGATAGGAAAGGTAGCAGAATACAACAGTCACTAGTATGGCAATATGTAAAAACGTGGATGTGTAACCRATGTGATTCTGCAATCTGTATWYGGGGTAAAAATGGGAGTTCATAACCCACTTGAATCAAATGTATGAAATATGATATGTCAAGAGCTTTGTAATGTTTTGAACAACCAATAATAAAAAAAATTAAAAAAAAAAAAGAAAAGCTTTTCAGGGCTTGCCTTTGATCAGCCGCTCAGGTCTTGTCCCTGGTAAGGTCCACATTGCCTGTGCCAAGTGTCCAAAGACGGTGGCATCGAGAGTGGAAAGCTTGGGCCCCATGATGTACTTCTTATCACCTGCAGCAGATAAAACAGAGAGATCACTCACTGTCACAATAGCATTCAGCACACTTTCATTCTATGTTTATCTAACTGCACCAAAAAGCTTTGCAGAGTCAAAATGCATGCATGCCCTTTTTCTTCAAAACATTTGAGAACAAATGTAAAGTGAATTAAGAAATTCTAGGATACATCAAACCCACAGCAAGGTAAGGCAGGGAACAAATCCAATCCAGATAAACAGATGAGGGAGGGTGTTTATGGGGAAAAACTGACTTCCAGTCTCAAACTGGAGGTCTCAAACTGTCTCTCTTTATTACTACAGTTTGAGAATGGAGAATACCCAGAAGTTTGATTTAACCAACTGAGAAGTAACCCAATGCAGCACTCAACCTCAGGGCATATATAATTAAAATAACAAATTTCCTCAAGGAAAACAAGAAGCCCAGGCTACTGAAGAAGCTTGAAGGCAAGGTTTCCCGTGACACCTCTAAGGTCTTGGCAAATTTCAACACTGAGTACCAGCTTCCTTGGGAAACATTAAGCAAAAAGAAGCTATGCAGTCAGAAGCTCAGCCCTGACATCAGGCTCCTAAACAAGAAAGTTTCACACTGCTGTTCCTGTCTCTCCATTTCCACCACTACTGACTTAGTTCAGGCCTTGTCGTGCAGACGATCACATCCAACCAATTAAAAGAGTCGCACATTGTCTCCTGAGCCGCTGTCAGGGCCTGTGGCATCTAGTGGCACAGGAAGAGATGGATCCACAGACATCACATCCTGGCACCACTATTATTCTCAAAGTCTCTGTTTTCTTACCCACCAAACAGGGATGATATTAAGAGTACCTAATTCCTTAGCACTACTGTGAATATGAAATGACATACACATGTAACAATCTTAGCATGGAATGTGGATAACTCAAGCAACATGAGCTCTCCTGATGAGAGCCCTTCCCTTCCTCCAGGACATTCCACATCCCACCTGAACTAAGACACTCTTTTCATCATGTCAGTCCCTCTCACGAACACCTTCCATCGTTTATGAAATAAAATCCAGACTCAAAAGAGGAGGGCCATTGTATTTACTTCTAACACATGTTCCAGCTTTGTGCCCTACTCCTCTCCCTGACTCTAGCAAACCTGAACTATAAAATGGGAGATTCATCAGTTGTAAGAGGAATAACTGAAGTGTCTTGAGCAGAGCACACAAGAAACCCTGCCTCTTCCTCTTGGGCCTTGTAAGTGACATTTTTTCCACACTGCACACTGTACCCTGGTTGGGTTTTATTTGTGGATTTTTAACATTCCAGCTAAATGGTAAGCTCTTTGAAAGTAAGAGTCATTTCTTATTTCTACTTAACAAACTTTTGTGCCATGTTTTCTACATGTTTAGCACAATTCTATGTGCTGTATCCTACAACTGTCCACCCATTTCATCACATTTGAGTGGCAAGCTGAGGATGTCACAGGTCTTATATCAGTGTGTAGCTAAGACAGGAGTTCAATCAAGCCATCTGTTAGAGCTCGTAATTGTATCCCATTGTTAACTAACTTCTCTATCATTTGAGTGTTGCCCCAGGATCTAAACCTATTACCCAAATACTGGGAAAACACTATCTGGGAAAAATTAATGACAAACAAAAAATCTCTAGGTATCACTTGTTCTCAAGATTGCCAGATATTTCTTGATGATTCATCTTGCTGACTCCAAACACCTCAACCACTCCTCCGCTGGCATTAAGTGATTACAGGTAGGCAGAGGGACCCCCTCCCCAAGAGCTCTCAGAACATCCTGCTAGGATTGGAGAGGTACATCAATCAGATGACCAAATGGCCCTCCTTACCAGACTGTGCCAGGGCTCTACCCATTCATGACCCAAACAAGACAGTCTATGAAGTGGAAGCCAAAAGGGCTTTAGGGCTATTGTGATAAGAGCTATACATAGCTTCAAAGAGAAGAAAATGAGTTGTTGTTTTTTTTTTTTTATAAAAGAGCAATGGTGGAATCATGAACAAAAAAATAAATAAGAAGGAAGAAAGAAAATGTTGATTTCCTTCAAAAAGTACTCTAAGGGAAATGCCAGAGTTTAAATAGTGAAGTCTGATGTCGAAATCAAAGATTTGGGGGACAAAATGAAGATAGACAGATGACAGATAAAATACTTGAAAATCTGATAATAGAGTACATAGGACCTTGATAAAAAGAAAAAAATCATAAAAATATGCTGTTATTTGACTCCATATATCAAATAATGCATACAGTGTTTAGTCATGATTTGCCATCTGGTCTCAGAATGTTAAAAGTGGAAGGACATTGAGTTAGTAACAGAACCAGACTCAGAATGCTGGCACCCAGGCCTCCAGACTTCTGGCTCAACGTCTTTGTCTCCACAATGTCACAAACATCATCATCTCAGAAATAAAGACTCCAAGGAACAGCAGTGTGTGTTGGGGGAGGGGGGGACTTTTAAAGTTTGCAAAAGGATGCTTTGGTTAAGAAGGAACATAAAATAGAAAAAGGAAAAAATAACTGAAACCTGATTTTGTTTTTTAAAGGTGCTTATAAAAAGAATGGATGGAATCTAGTATGTGAGGTAAATGCAGAATGGTAGATACAAAATTATATGTATATAAACACATGGTTATACATTTTTAAAATATATAAATATCTCCTGTCATTAAAAACTCCTCAGAATATCCAATAACAGGAAGCTTTTTAAAACGTTTATTTTGAAATAATTTTGGATGTATAAAAAATTTGCAAAAACAGCATAGCTCCTGTAATGTCCTTCACCCAACTTCCATAAAYATTAATATCTTAGAGAACCACAGTACATTTATCAAAACTAAAAGAAATTAACCATTAGYATAACACTGCCAACTGTATTATAGACTTTATTCAAATTTAATTCATTTTTTTAACGAATACCCTTTTTGTTCCAGGATCCCACATTTCATTTGTCACCCTACCTCCTCAGTCTCCTCCAATTTGTGAAAGTTCCTCCATGCTCCTTGACTTTTCAMAAATTGGACATTTTTAAAGAACACTGGACTGTTATTTTGTAAAACATCTATGAACTTGGGCTTCTCTAAGGTTTTCTTATGACTAGATGAGGTCATGAATTCTTAGCAAGAATACCACACAAGTARCAATGTATCTCTTTTGATGGTTAATTTTATGTGCCATCTTGACTAGGCCATGGGGTATCCTGATATTTATTCAAACAATATTCTGGGTGTATCTATGATGGTATTTCAAGATGAGATTAGCCTTTGAATTCATAGAATGACTAAAGCAAATTTCCCTTCCTGATATGGGTGGGCCTCATCCAATCCATTGAAGGCTTCATAGAACAAAAAGGCTGAAAGCCTTCCCCCCAACCAACCCMGTAAGAGAGAACTCCTTCTGCCTGACTGCCTTCAAACTGGGACATTGGCTTTTTCCTATCCCTGACTCAAGTAGAAGCATCAGCTCTTCCTGGGTCTCAAGCCTGCCAGCCTTCAGACTGGATCCATACCATCAGTTTTGGTCCTTGGATCTTTTCATCACATGAGAACTCTACCATAGAATGCCAACTCATCCTGCACATCTTGGGATCCATAACTCTGTGAGCCAATCCCTTATATTTAGTTTCTTTATACCCAATTGGTTCTGTTTCTCTGGAGAATCTTATGTAATACCTTCTGAGGGCATCATTGTATCAAAGGGCACATAACTGTACATCTTAATATGTGGTATTAACCTTGACCGCATGGTAAAGATGGTATCTGACAGGTTTCTTCCTAATAAAGTTACTATTTTTCCATTTGCAGTTAATAATCTTCAGAGAGATACTTTGAGATTGTACAAATATCCTGTTTCTCTTGACTGTGACCAGTTTTAGCATCCATTGGTAGATGTCATCTGAAACAATTATTTTTATGGTGTTTGTTTTATTGTGGTTTTCTCTTCCTCTCATTTCTTCTACACATATTGATTAGGATTCTACTGTCTCTATACCCCCACTTGCTAATGTATTCAATTATTTATTTAAGTATGCACTCATGAATATTTGTTTATTCTATGGGATGCAGTCCAGTACTATCAATATTTRTTTCATTGCTCAAACTGTTCCAGCTTTGGGCTGTGGAGCTTGGCAGAAAGCATTTTTAAAAGGTAAACTAAATTARATTTAACTCTGTTTAGAGACGAAGAGGCCAAGCTGAAGGTCTCATTTCTGYAACACTTCTGGGGTACAGAAAGTGGTCCCAGATCCCATGACTAGAGGGGTTTAGAAAACACAAAACTCTAAGGACAGATCTGAAGGGCACTAAAGGAGCAGGCATGGGTGATGAGACACCTCGAGCTTCAATACTGGCAGGTGAACCACCTGACTGCTCCTGTAGGGATACCTGAGCACCTGTAACTCTCCCTGTCAGCCCCTAGGCTGAAAGTGTGGACTCTGAGCCATTGGGGAGGGCAAATAAAGGTTGAAAACATGAAGTCAGTCCCCAGCAGTGAGGGACCCAGGGCACATCACAGTCCTTGAAATGTGCTCCAACAGAGGCCAGCGCTCCCAAGCACCAGGAACACCTCCCTAAAGGCACAGAGCCCACCTGCCTGTGAGGGTGACCCCCATATTCTGTCACCTGCATTGGCAGTGGGACTTCCCATGCCCAGGGTGAGTTGAAAGACCTCCATGGTTGGGTCTCCCATTGGTCATCAGGGAGCACAGACCATGAAGAAATACAAGAATAGAGACCACCATGCCAGAGAGGTAGACCCACGTGGATTTGAAGGAAGATCACGGCAGGAATGGCAAAGCTGGTTCTTCTGCGGGGTAAGAAAACGTCACTACACCCAGGCATTTCAAGAATCTGATGTAACCTATCCTGGATGTTTAGACAGCTCCTCTCTGTGAGGAAGGCCATATTGTACATGCAGGAACCATGGGGGTACCCATGGATGACCAAAGTCTGAACATGGAGTACTGAATCATGAATAGCAAGAATATTAAGGGCATTTGCTGTTTAYATC